ATCTTTTTAAAGGGTTCTAATTATTTGAGAATATCTTTCAGGACTGAGCTCTGGTCAAAGCTTAGAGCACCATTATACTTACATGACTTCTACTTGCTTCTGATTTGTTAGTCTGTGATGTCTCCTCTGTCTCCTTCATGAGAGCCTATTTCCAAATGAATTCCACCTTTCTTCTCTCTGAACTTCTGGAAGCAAAGTAGTTTAGAAAGCATCCTATTGAAAAATGTCTGCAGGTATTTCCTGGCTTCCAAACATAATATGGGCAGCTTCAATTGAATCTCTGAATGCAAAGGCCTGTTCTCTCTAGCTAATCATTTATTGTTTGTTCCCTGCAGAGAATGCCTGGTACATTTAATGACTTCAGATCCGTCTAATGCTTAGAAATGAGCCCCGGTTCCTGCACTCATTTACTAATACCAAGGAATTGCTTTGTGTGTAGTGACAATCAGAAAGATTTTGAAGGTGGAAAATGGTTGAAATAATTAGTGAAAAACATACCCAAATTCCTTTGAGCCTCTTTTTGTTCATCTACTTTGAGAAGTTTCTTAAGAGAAAAGTAAGTGAGGAATGTGCACAAGGGTGAGGAGAGCAGATATTTGTGTGTTTGTCTTCTGGGGCAAAGTGTGAACAGCAAAGCTAGAGTGGACTAATGTTTTGTGTTTATGAGCAGTGCAGGGGAGTCATAATCCATTTGTTGCTTTGGGATGCAAGGAAGAAAGGAACTCTCTCTTGTATTTAGTTTCCCTTGTATAAGACTAAGCTTATACACCAACAAAGCAGGAACATTTATCAGGTTAGATAAGTTTGTGTACAGATTTTTGTTTTTGAGACAAGGTTTTGAGATGTAGTCTAGGCTGGTTTCAAACTCAAGATCCTTCTGTCTTAGCCTCCTGGGCATGCCATGACATCCAACCGTAACTAGCTTTTCTTAGTGAGTCTATAAATCAGAGGTGGTAGTTACTTACCAAGACTCTCCGGAGAGGGATGATTAGGAAAGTATTAAGTGAAATACTCCATTCTCCTTTTACCTGAAGCAAGATCTATTAAAAAAGGAAAAGATAGTATATAAATCAGGTCCTGGTCTTCCTCAAACATTTTCATGATCAGAAATGTTAATTCTTTTCTTCTTGATTGTGAGATAGTCCACATTTATTCTAAATCTTCAAATCGTCTTCAAGAAATAGTGTCTACATAGATGTAAGATCATTTTTCAAGTGTTATTAATTTCTATTTATACATTAGTTTCTAATTATACATTAATTTATACATTAATTTCTATTTATACATATTTTCTATTTATACATTTGCTTGGATTCTCTTCTATTCTTCAGTCATTTTGGTCCTTTATTGAGTAGCTTGTGTGACAGATGCTGGGGCATGTATTATGAGTAAGTGCTGTTTAACAAATATTCTATAGACAACAGTTGGAAAGCCTTGGCTTAGTTGAAACTGTTATTGTCTGTATAATTATGAAATGGTACTAACATGCAGTGATTGTTTCCCTGTTTGCTCCTGTGTTGTTGCTCCAGCATCCCTTTTAATAGCTACTATTTGTATTGTCAAAAATGTTTGTTTCTTAACTTATATGGTATTCTCTGGGGACACAAATCATAGCTACAACATCTAAAATCTTACCAATGGTTACTTTTTGAGAAAATCCTAACTGTTTGGCTGGTAGGAGGCATTTACTGCTCCTAGAACTGTATAGGCAGTTAGACAGCTGCTGTCCTTGGTGATGAAGTGATTTCATGTGAGTTCTTAGCATTAGACACAAAGCAGGGTTGTGTCTTGTGTACTATTTGTGGTTACTGCTGGTATCTTCCTAGGTCCATTTGAAATTCTAGAAAAATACAGACTCTAGTGTCTTAATGTCTTGAGTTCCTGACTGCCAGGCACAGGAAATGTTTAACTATTTTAATCATGTTTTTGTAGCCCCAAAGAAATCCTTTATAATAGGAAACGACAGGGTCCCACCACAAAGTTATCTCTTATCAGTTCCAGTCTCCGTGGATAAAGATTTGTCAAATTTGGACATGTGTAAAATGCAAAGGCCCTGTTATTTACTTTGGAAGGGAAAAATTAGATGAAGCTGATAAAAAAGTCATGACTTTTGTTAGGAGATAGAAACCATTAGAGGCAGTCATTGTTAGCTTAGGAAAGTGTCCTTGGACCCCTCCCTGATGAAACCTAAATCTGCTTGAATCATTCTTTGCAACTCCAGGGGAGGGAAGGCAAAGAAAGGAGGGGAGCAAGAACCTATGAACCGGCCCTGTTAGAGCAGCTTAGAGGGCAGACAAGTTGCTGCTAGTGCACCAGGCAGATGCTTGTCCCAGAGCTCTCCTCCACCCCTGTTTTTTGATTTTGGAGACCACATTCCATCTTGTAGAAGGGTGACATTCCTTCACGCAGTGCTTGTTGCTCTTCCCCTCTTGCCTTCTGTAGATGTAAGTGATTCTTTTTCATTAGTAGAAGCAGAGAAAACACATTCAGCTCAAAGCAACATGAGTCAGTGCATACTTGACATGCCTCTATCCTCACAGCACTCTGACTCCTCACAGTGCTCACTCCTAGTGTGTTCTCAGAGGGGAGCAGGGGGGCAGGGGAAGGCTTTCTAAATACCAGGCTGTTTCTGGAGGGAGGGAGAGCTAGTGAGTCAGAGCCTCTTTTTGTTCCTTTACTTTTTGCCTAGCTCTCTCTCTGGAGCTTTCAAAACAGACAAGTATGCATGCTGTATGTTAGTTTCAGGACCAAGAAATAATAGACCAAAATACCTATAATTCAGGACACTATAAACAGTCAGAAAACAGATTTGCTGCAGATGATAGGAAAGAACTTTGCCGCCTTGCATGAGGTACCTTTTGGAAAATGTGAGTGGAGATAGGCCAATCCTAACTGTTAGCAACAATGACTTTCTTTGCAAAAGGGTCTGCAAGCTTATTTTTCATAGCTCTCTAGGGAAATGCTGCTTCTATTGCTGTTCAATCTGTAAGGATGACTCTGACAAGTCAATGAGCCAAGGTTTTGCTTGAGAGTGGCTTCGAATGGCTTCCTTTTTTGAGAGAAACTGGCTCTGTGACAAACAATTTACTGCTCAAAATTAGGCAAGAAGAATTCTCGTCCTTTTATATATATCATAAGTAACTACATTTTTCTTTCTTTTTTCTTTTTTTTATTGGATGTTTTAATTACATTTCATATGTTGTCCCCTTACCCCATCCCCCACCCACCCAGGAACCCCCTATCCCCTCACCCCTCCTCCTTATTCTCTGCAGATGTAACCCCTGCCTACCCCCCACTCCCACCTCCCCACCCTCAAAATTCCCACCCCCTGGGGTGTCCAGCTTTCACGGAGTCAAGGATCTCTTCTTCTACCTATGCCCAGCAGGGCCCTCCACTCTTATGTATTCAGCTGAAGCCCTAGATCCCTCCCTAAGTGCTCCCAGGCTGGTGGTTTAGACCCTGGGAGCTGTGGTTGGTTGGTATTGTTGCTCTCCTCATGGGGCCACAAACCCTTTCAGCTCCAATGGCCTTCACTCTAACTCCTCCACTGGGAACCCCATTATCAGTTCAATGGCTAGTTGTGAGCATCTGCCTCTGAATATGTCAGACTCTTGAAGACCTCTGAGGAGACATCTATATCAGGCTCTTATCAGCATGCACTTCCTGACTTCCACATCAGCATCTACCTTTGCTGACTGCACATGGGATGAGTACTCAGGTGGAATGGTCTTCAGACGGCCCCTCTTTCAGTTTCTGTCCCTCACTTTGTCTCCATATTTGCTCCCTTGAGTATTTTGTTGCTCCTTCTAAGAAGGACCGAATCACCCCCACTTGTTCTTCCTTCTTCATGAGCTTCATGTGGCCTGTAAGTTGAATCTTGGGCATTTCAAGGTTCTGGGCTAATATCCAATAATCAGTGAGTGAATACCATGTGTGTTCTTTTGTGATTGGCTTACCTCACTCAGGATGATAATTTCTAGTTCCTAGTACCTAGGAAATTCTCGATCTCATTGTTTTTAATAGCTGAGTAATACTCCATTGTGTAAATGTACCACATTTTTTGAACCCATTTCTCAGTTGAAGGACATCTGGGTTCTTTCCAGCTCCTGGCTATTATAAATAAGGCTGCTATGAACATAGTTGAACATATGTCCTTGTTATATGTTCAAGCATCTTCTGGGTATATGCCTAGGAGTGGTATAGCTGGATCCTCAGGTAATGCTATGTCCAATTTTCTGAGGAACCGCCACACTGATTTCCAAAGTGGTTGCACCATCTTGCAGTCCCACCAACAATGGAGGAGTGTTCCTCTTTCTCCACACCCTGGCCAGCATCTACTATCACCTGAGTTTTTAATCTTAGCCATTCTGACTGGTGTGAGATAGAATCTCAGGGTTGTTTTGATTTGCATTTCCCTGATGACTAAGGATACTGAACATTTCTTTAGGTGCTTCTCGGCCATTCGAGTTTCCTCCGTTGAAAATTCTTTGTTAAGCTCTATACCCCATTTTTTAATAGGGTTATTTGGTTGTCTGGAGTCTAATTTCTTGAGTTCTTTGTATATATTGGATATTAGCCCTCTATCAGATATAGGATTGGTAAAGATCTTTTCCCAGTTTGTTGGTTGTCGTTTTGTCCTATTGACAGTGTCCTTTGCCTTACAGAAACTTTGCAATTTTATGAAGTCCCATTTGTCAATTCTTGATCTTAGAGCATATGCCATTGGTGTATATCCTGTAACTGTAATTACTGGTGGTTGTGAGTTATATTATGTAGGTGTTGGGAACTAAATTCAGGTCTTCTGAAAGAGCAGCAAGCACTCTTAATTGAGGAGCCATCTCTTCAGCCTGAGAACATGATTCTTTTATTTATTTTGAATTTTCCATTTAGAATATAGAGTTGGCTTGGAAAAGAATTCACTGTTGAATAGTAAAAATAAAATTAATACAGTTTTCACCATAATAACTTCATGTGATATTTTTGTAATTACATGTTTCTAGGTACCTGGGGCTCAAGACTTGGTGGATTTCTCTCCTGTGTATCGGTGTCTACACATATATTCTGTCCTGGTGAGTCTTTACCTGATCTTCCTAATAAAGATATGTGTTACATCCCAAATTCTGAGTTGTTGTTATTATTACTTTATTTTTGAGCAACGTTTTATTTGATGAGTGTTAACTAATTCATCTGCTCTTGCTTGAGTCTTGTTTATATTTGCCTTGTAAAAGTTAAACATAGCTGATGAGATTTCAAAGAGTCATCACCAGATTGGTAGGTTATAAGTAGAAATATATTCAGATTTCTCCGTTTCAAATCTAACATATTTAACCTAGAATAACCTGCTTTTATACATTAACGGATTTATCAAAAGTATTTGCAGTTTTTGACAATCATCCCTTTTGTTCTCTAAAGTACCGGTAAAAGAAATTTGCTAAAATGTCAATACTGTGGTGTCAATAGACTGTAGCGTTGATAATGACAGTGTAGGATATTGCAAGCATCCCTGCAGTTTGTCTCTGTACTCAAACTGTGTTTAGTGTTTTTTGAAATGCACATCTTTAATTTTGAGATAATCAGGCCCATTAGTTTTTAACTTATAATGTTTGTTTTTTAACTCACTATGAGTTCTAGCTCATTATGTTTCAACTTTCATTTAAAAAAAAAAAAAGCCTGAACAAACCCACAAAGAAGCAACTTTTTTCCCAACCTCAGACCAACTTCCAAAACCTCCTGCTCCAAGATGACAGCATTCCCTGACAGCATCTTTAGTGTTTTATTATTTACACTGTGCTGATGGAAATGTTGTTATCTGTTTACAGTTTTTTAATACTTATCTAATTTCTCTAATGTATGAAGAGATTTGGATATGTATGGATGTCTAGGTAAGTGAGGGTTTATGCTCTAAATGATTGCAATGCACCAGGATGAAAGTGTATTTTCAGAATGATGGTAGCATGGCAGTGCTGTTTTACTGCTATTTGCTGCCTTTTATAAGCTTCGTTAAGCTTTTATGAAAACAGAACAAATTTGCCTCAAGTGAGAATTCTAACAGACCAGTAAAATAATTTACTTGCATACTTACTATCTTGTGTGTTAGGGTGGTCTAGCAGCACACTTATGTATATATGAAGTGGGAAAATGATTTCCTGCTTAGTGTAGTTATTGACAGTGAAATAATGTCAACTCAGTCCTTGGGAAATGATTGACATTTAATAAATGGCAGGTGTCTGGTAAGATGATGTTGTCATTTGCTGATCCAGACATAGATTTCCAGAAGCATGCACTGTGAAGTATAAGCATGTACTCAGGAGATATAGATTCTTATTATCAATTAAATTGACAATTTAAATTTATTTCTTAATTTATAATGAACATATAGGCTTAATTACAGATTGGTTTAGAAGTGATCAAATTAGAAAACTGTTTAATTGGAACAGGATTCTATGCATTAGTATTTGAAGCGTGAAATATTTGATACTCACAAATTTTCTGTAATAATGTTTAAAACTATTTTTACCTGGCCTGCACAGGTTTTAGAACCATTCATAGAGCTGCCAAATTCACAGCTGATGATAAGTGTTTTGTAATATATGTTTATAATTTATATTATGAACGTATAAACATATTATATTATTATATTATAAACATATAAGTCCTAGTTCAGACTTATGGGGGTTCTGAGTGAAACCTAATATCAACTTTACTACAGGATGCTAACAGCACACGTAACTTGGTGCAGAATTTATAGAGCTGAGGATATATTCTTGTTACTTGTAAAGCTGTGTTAATGTCAGATGTGCACATTACTTCATGGTAAAGTACAGCTTCTCATAGAATATTTAAAAATGTTTAGTCAGCATAAATATTTATTACAATGTTCTCATTTTCTAATATAGTAAGCATTAGTCTTAGGCCTTGAGCAAAAGAGAATTTCAGAATGGAGAATTAGAACATCAACCATGTAACACTAATTTCTTCTTTTCTAATATTGTCTTTGTTTCTTCATTTGGATCAATCCAGATTTTATCGTCCCTCTCCTCACTTTTCTGAGTGTGTATTCTTCTGGACCTTGACCTTACTGATCGTTTTTTATCTCTCAACCTCCTAATCTCATTTTTCCCTTTTATAGCATGGTTTTCTTCCTCTCTGCCAGTCTTTTTTTCTTTTTTTAAATTTATAATAAGCCTTTATCAGCATTAAAGCTGGGCAGATGTCTACTCTCTATGCTTTTAAAATCTACTTTTCTATCAATAACTCTGAGTTACTACTTATTATGTTCCATCTGGCCTGCTCTTAACTCCAGTTGGTCAGCACTCATGGCCATGATTTTAAGATTCTTATCCCATGGTGTCTTCTCTGTCCACCTTCCTTTTTCTCCTTTTGGTCTCCTTACAAACCTATCCCTGGGACCTTAAACCCTGCCTATGTCTCCTCTGCCCAGCTACTGGCTGTTGGCATCTTTAACCACTTGCTGCCTACTCTGGTGTTTTTCAGCTCATCTTCTTTGTGCCCTTCACTACTGCCAGAGTTCTACTTGTGCCTCTGCTCTGTTTCTTGTTGTTAGAAGGTGCATGTTCTAGAACTGGGCATGAGCTCTGTAGTAGAGTATGTGCTTAGCGTTGTGTGAGGAACTGGGTTCCATCTCCCCTAATGACAATAGCAACAAACAGACAAACAAAGAAAACCAGTGCACTCATTATGGAGATTCCACAGGTTGTAGAAACTTAGCATCAATGTGTCTCTCACACTTCACTGGCCCTACAGGCTTCTGAAATTTCAGTGGTCTTGAAGCCATAATTATTTCTTCTCATCACTAGTTAGAAAGCCACATTCTTTTTGGGTTTTCTAGACATGTAGATGTTGTAAATATAATTGAATTTTATTATCATAAGGCCATTGCCTCCATTCATATATTTATCATAGCTGGTTAAACAATCACCTTATTTCCTCTACCCTAATAGTGAAAAACAGTTACCTTAAGTATTCCCTCTACCCTTAGGGAGCTCAGTTACTTACCTCTTGCTATGTCTAAAATGAGCTACCTACTTCATCTTACTGACCATCTATCTTGTAAGACACTGAAATGTTGAAGAACAAAACCTGTCATGGCGCTATAGAGGTCTTCCACATTTCCTGTTGCTTACCATCTTGTCTTCAAATTCTGCAGCATGCTGTAGTTGTCATCCTTTTTGCATATTAGCCCTTCTACTTCAATCATACTCGGATTTTATTGTGTTTTAAAAATTCTATTTCACTTTAATTTCCCGTTTCTTACTTATTTTATACCTGTCCTCTAGCAAATTTTCCTAATATTGCAGACTGAGCTCAGCAGATCTCTTCTCCACATTTATTTAGGGCCTGGTGTGTGTGTGTGTCTGTGTTTATTGTACTAATCGTCATAGTCTAGTGGATTATTCATCAATAGATGACAAGCCCTTTTAGGGCAGGTACAGTGTTAATTCTATCTGGTGTTTTTTTTTTTTTTTGTCTCACCAATTAATATTAGCAGTATATAATAGTCAGTGTTTGTTTCTGATTGTAAGAGATAGCCACCCTTCTTTTGACCCTTAAGCAAATCCAGTGTTTTCATCTCAGGACATGCTATTCAGTGCCAGGGCAGAGACTTACATGGTGGGGGTGGAAGGCAGTTCTGTTGGTGTTCAACGGAAGGATCATAACACAAGTAACAAAAAGTTCTAATATTTTGTCATTTACAATAGTGTTTATCTGAACTTTTGGCCTGAAGCATAACAAGGCACACTTTGAATAAACATGGCAATATTTATTATTTTTAGTGAAACCGACCTTCCATTCACCCCCCTTTATGGCTGTGCTGCTTATAAATTCCCAAAGGATTATTTGAAAAATCCTACTTATATCAGCCAGCCTTATCAGTAGGGCAGAAGTTCATGTATTGTAACAGGAGGTCAGATTTCGGTCATGGTCTTATAGATGGGGCCAAGCACCTGTAAATTCTTCCTTTGGTGACTAAAGTGAAGTACAATATCAAACAGGCAGTGAGACTTTTCTAGGAAGTGTTGAACTTTGACAGGAAGGACAAAGTTTGGTGGGTGGAGGGGAGGGAAGAAAGTGAACAGGGTCAGATAATGGTGGAGACTCGGGCCTTGATGCAATCATACAGTGGAAGTGTGTGGGGGCAAAGGTAGATGCATTGTGTAGAGTTGTTTTAAACAATTGGTGCGGTTTAAGTCTTCAATTTACAACTAACAAACATATAGTTTAGAGATCAGCAGGTGAGGAAGTAAAACGTCATAGTCATTAGAGAAAAACAGTTGTTTAAAGGAAAAAACAAACTTAAAGTTCTCCTGTTGAGGAAGTGATGGATAATAACGGGCGTTATTGTACATTGTGCATTGTTCCTGTAAAGATGGATGGACTGTCTGTCTAGTGAATACATAAATGAGTCTGCCTTGCATATTTTGTGAAACCTTTATTGACCCAAGGTTATCTGCCGTGTTTATGGGTTGCAGCCTTCAAATCAACTTCAGTCCAGACAGGATTTGCATATACTTTAAGCTCCTTTATATACTGAAGCATCTTTCTAAGTCATCTTGAGGTTCTATGCTAACTTGTCTTATGCACAGCATCTAACAGGACGCTTGGGTATTATTATGGGTGTACAGAAAAGCAAGCCTGTGAATTAAGCCAGACCTTCTGTTTCTAAGATTTCACTTGTAATCTTCCTTCCTAGTGGCATCGTGGTCTCCAGTTATCTATATTATATCATCATTAACAATTTAAATTCCCATATTAAAACTGTTGACAAATTGTACACCTTGGATTTATGTATTTTTATGCATATGTATTATAATAAAAAGTTTTCTTTCTAGAATTCTGACATCTTTAGCAATTTTAGCAGTAATCCAGATGCTTCTTAATGCACACACCAACCCCTTAGTTATTACACGAATCTTAAGAACTGCAGTTCTGTTCTTCAGTAGCAAAAGGAGACTGTAGAGAAGTACAGGAAAGAATAGAGTGTTACTCCATGTTATTATAGAGGCAGCAATCTGTTGAGTATACATCTGTGCCCCAGAATAGCTAATGC